TAAACCCTAAACCCTGCAACTCTAAACCCGAGCTCCGGCCAGCTGCAACGGGTGGTAACCTTCCTAGATTAGGCTTTAGGGTTTAGGGTTTAGGGTTTAGGTTTTGGGTTTAGGGTTTAGGGTTTAGGGTTTAGGGGTTTTTGTGGGGAGCCCTGGCTTGCTGCATCGGGGCATCGAGGTCCCTTTTCTCGCAGGAGGATGGTTCGGCATGTCTCATCTAGGGCCTGTTTTTTGCATATCTAGCATGGATTGGGGAGTTTTGCAGTGGTTGTGTGCGAGCTTGTGTTCTAAACCCTAAACCCTAAACCCTAAACCCCTAAATTCTAAACGACTCTACTGCAGTGGTATTCGTCATAATCATGCGAAAGGGGTCCTCAAAAAAAAGCCTGCCGTACTAAAGCCCCAACCATGAGCACCAACCCCGAATCCCTGAACCGGTTTTAGGGTTTAGGGTTTAGGGTTTAGGGTTTAGGGGTTTAGGGGTTTAGGGTTTAGGGTTTAGGGTTTAGGGGGTAAGTTCTTAAACCCCAATCCCCAATCAAGATTTTGGAAGCTCCTCACTATATGGGAGTTTCCGAAAATTAGGGTACCTTATTTGCGGGTCCTTATGATAAGGATCCCACTATTTAGGGTACTATATTAGGATCCCCTATTTTCGGAGACTCCCATATTTATAGCATAATGGGCCCCCAAAACCCTATTCTTATTATTCAGGCCCCTATAACAAACCGTGGAATCTCTCCAAAAAATGAGCTGGCTAAGCGACTTTCAACACATCAGACTCGAGGGTTCACGTGTAGGGTCGATAAGGACGTTTTTGGGTTTAGGGTTTAGGGTTTAGGGTTTAGGGTTTAGGGTTTAGGGTTTAGGGTTTAGGGTTTAGGGTGGTCGCAAGACATGGCAACAAGGCGGTCCCCTGCACTGGGGCCAGGATCAATGAACTCGTTGTTTGGGCGTCTAGGTGCATGCAGTCCCAATACAACCCCTAAACCCTGAAAGAATGCACTACGATCCGAAACGAAGAATGAAACCCATATAAAACCACATCACACCCCTCACAAAAACAGCTTGTGAAGCCCAACCAGCAAACCAACATAGAGCCCCTAACATAAAACCCTTCCGATGCCCTGTACGAACCCTTCCATAACACCGAAACCATCATCAGACAGCCTTTCTTCCTAAACCCTGAAGCCGTTCCCGAAACCCTATACCCTCAGGGGAACCTTCTTTTTTGCAGGCTTTTTCATTACAGACCTTAAAAAAAAGTATACGGGCCCTTGAAAAAAGTAGCCTTCACCCCTACACCCCAAACCAACCCGTAACCCTAAACCCCAACCCCCAAATCCGAAAATCCCTAAAGTCGCTAAATCCCTAAATCACTAATCCCTACACCCCTAAACCCTAAACCCTAAACCCTAAACCCCCAAAACAAACCCTAAACCCTGAACCCTAAGCCCCTGAACCCTAAACCCCTAAGCCCCTAAACCCTAAACCCTAAACCCTTAAAGCCGTACGTGCCTAGCCAGGCGGACGTGGCCTCGCTGATGCAGCCGCTGAGCCGGGGGGCCTCGGAGAATCTCAAGCCGGGCCAGGAGGCCTCGAGCTTTTTTTTTTTTTTCTCCTCTTTTTTTCTTAATTTTTTTTAGTTTAGGGTTTAGGGTTTAGGGTTGTTTCACTCTTTTTTTTAGTTTAGGGTTTAGGGTTTTTTTCCGCTATTTTTGTGTAACCTGTTACTTGTTTTTTTAAAGTATTGTGGTTTGTAATGTTTTAAGCTGTTGATTTGATACGTGTTTAAATGTTGGGGTGTATGGTAATGGGGTTCACGGCTTAAGGGGGTTTTGGAGGGTTTTTACAACCCTAAACCCTGAACCTTCAACCGAGCTTTACTCTTTCAGTTGGTTTTTGGGTAGGGTTTTCGGACAGTTTACACGGGGTTTGCGGGAGCGTTCAGCTTTTTTCGCTCCTGGCGGCTTCTGGTCGGCCTCGTGGACTTGTTGGGGCAGTGGGCTGATTTCGGTTTCAGGGCTTCGTTGCTGCAGGCTTCTTGCAAAGATTTTTGGAAGGCTTTGTTTTCGGTTATGGGGTGTAAAGGGGGTGGGTACAGGGCTTGCTGTAATGCAGTCTGGTCTTGTCAGAGCCTTAAACGTTTTTTTTCTAGAGTTGCGCTGGGGGCTTCGGGGCTTGCAGCTCAGTGCATAAATCAATCGGGGTTTTCGGAAGAAGGCGGAGACTTCCAGGTGTTTCTTGAAAGGTTAGACGAGTTTGTCTAGAAGTTTACACGGGTTTTTCCATGGTAGGGTTTTGGGGGTTAAAGAGGTGGTGGGGTTCGAGGTTTTGGGGCTTGAGGTATGAGGTGGTATCAGAACTCAGGCTCAAGGTGTAGATGGTTTGGGGGTTTCGGGTTTCGGTCTGGCGTTCCTGCTTCTGCGTGTTGCAGGAAACGGGAACCCAATATAGAACCCCCAATTATCGTACCCTAAACCCGAAGCCATAATACCCTACACCCTAAACTACCCAAAACCCTAAACCCCTAAACCCTAGTACCCCCAAACCCAAATACCCCTAAGCCTTAAACCTTAAACCCCAAATACCCTAAACCCTAATACCCCAAAACCCTAAACCTCAAAACCCTAAACCCTAAACCCTAAAACCCTAAGTTTTAAGGGCCACGATCTTTTGCAGGTCTTTGCTCTGGGCAACCCGTTCGGCCTCGAGCACAGCATGAGTGGCGCCCTCGAAGAGTGGACCTCCGTTGGGGTTTCGGGGTTTAGGGTTTCGGGTCTTGCACTGTTTACTGTTTCCACGCAGTGAACTGTAAGCTCCAAACCTAAACCCTAAACCACCCGAAACCCCTAAACCCTAAACCCTCAACCGCTCGTGCTGTTCCTGGCTGAGGCAAAGGAGTGATTAGTGGCGTCTCCAGGAGCATGGAGGCAGAGCTGCGCTTGTCTGCAGTCTTCACCTACCGGTGCTTCAGGGAGAGTGCAGGAGGGATTATGGGGAGTATATAAGGGCTGTTATTATAGGGGATTCACCCTGCCACTTCCCTTAGGCACCAGTGAGTTCAGAGGCCTCATGTTGTGCTCTACGGCTGGGCTAGGGATTTCAAAAAGGAGCCGACCTGCCCGATGAATGTTACACCATACATCATGTAGTATAG